ATTTAACATCAGGGGGACAGAAGGGACGAACACACCGCGCTGAGGCCGGCTGTGTGTGTATGGGCCGCTGTTTTAATTTTTATTTTAATTATTGTAAAAATAGGCTCCTGTCCTCTAAAAGCTGATAAAATGAGTGAAGTCTGGTGTAGAGGTCTCTCCATGCAGTGAGTGGATGCAGAAACCACACAGGCGCATCTGTCATGACTCGTCAAACCGAGCGCGTGCCGCTTACCTCATTTCTCCTCCTTGTCTCGAACCCGAGGAGGCCCGGTTCGGTTCTCTGTTCGGCTTCTTAATCCCTCTGAAGGTTCGGCTCGGCCCTCCGGCCTCCCGTTCTCTGGAGATGAGCTCAGTTGGGGCTGATTCACCGGGAGGATGAGTTGTTTTCAGGCGCTCTCTTCCAGCCGCTTTGTGCTCCGCTGGCTCTGCTGTCCGCGCGCGCCGCAGCTGCGGGTCCGTGGGTCCATGATGCTCGGCTCGGTGTCGGACGATGAACGCTGCTCGGCCGCCGCCTCCTTCATGCCATATTTCCTTCCCATTCGGAGTATTTTGGGTGAAGCGGAGAGATTCGAGGGGGAAAACGCTAATGCGGTGCGAGGAGGTGGAGGAGGAGCGGCTCAAGGCTGCCGACCTGCGGCCAAGACGCGAAGCTGCAGCCGGCTGAAGACTCTCAAACCCCGCCCTTCACCCGGTCACATARCGTTGGTTACGTATTGTAACCCCAGATTCTATGAGTGTAAGCTCCGCCCTCTAAGGCTATAAGAGGGCGGAGCTTACACGAAATAGAACGCTCACACAGTGTGAAAGAGCTGAAGTTAATTAAGAAGCTGAAACTGAGATATTAATGCTTCTATAGAAGCATAACACGAGCTAAAAGCTAAATAAATCAGAACACCAGCTAAGTGCTAAAAGTACCAAAGCACTAAATAAAAGTAAAAAGAAACAAACCCCTAGCTAAAAGCTAAAATGTGGACCTTCACTCTTGACGTCACGCATACTATATACATCTGAGTGAATTGTATGGAGATTCAGTTTAATAGAAACTAAAGGCTACTTAAAATCACCAAACATTTGGCTAAAAGCTAAGGCAAGCTACAAGATGTATGTAAAAGTGTAAAATTGCAAAAGTCTTAAGTTTAGCAAAAGGTTGGCTAAAAACTAAAAGTAGCCAAATGCAACAATTATGCTAATGGTAGACTATCTAAAAGCAATAAAAATGTAGCTAAAACCAAAAGTAGCCAAATGCTATAGCTACAAGATAATTGTAGCAAAAGGCTACAATAGTTTGGCTAAAAGCAAAAGGCTACCGTGTAAATGTAGGAAAAAGTGGAGAGTTGTAAAATGCTATTTTAACAGAGCAAAATACTGGTTAAAAATGAAAAGTAGTGAAATGRTAGAATAAAGCTACAAGTAGAAAAATGATATATAGAAGCTGGAAGCGTAGCTAAAACCCAACAGTAGCTAAAGGTTAACTATAAAGTAAATGGAGTAAAAGGCTAGCTACAGTAAAAATGTAAAAAATGCCATAATTATCAGTAGTTTGGCTAAAGGTTAAAAGTAACAAAATCAAAAGTTGTAAAGCAAAAAGCTGGCTAAAAACTAAAAAAGCAAAATGCAAAAGCAGAAAGAATAGCTAAAAGCAGGAAAGGTAGCTGAAAGCCAAAAGTAGCAAAAAGCTAGCTACAAACCAAACTGTTTTTTAACCTAATAAAATAATTGTGCAAGTCATTTTTGGCCAAATATAACTTAGGCAATTATGCTATTAGGCTAACGATATTTAACCAGGCACATCTTATCTTACAGCACTTTAAAAACCAAACACATAAAGGTGACAGTTTATTCAAAAACAGACAAAGTTAGACAGTTTAGGTTGCATTTACTTTATGTCAGGTGTCAAATATTGAATTGTTTTGGAATCTAAAGCCTCAAGTGTTAAATCGTAACAAGAAGTGTGCACTGTTGGAAGATTTCTATGTTTTAAGCAGATAAAACAAATTCAGCCAACTGTCAAGATTTTAATACAAGCAGCAGCAGTGACGTTCACATTAAAACCTTCAGCTTTGAAAACAACTTTAATCGTRCTTTTTTTATTTTACTTTCAGTTGATCATGTAACAACTGTGAACAGGTTTTACTGAAGTAAAAAAGATCCATCTGGTGCTAAACAGTTTATTAGACCTGTTGGATGTTTATCAGGTGGAAGCAGTGCATTAAAGAGAAAATAATAATAAAATAAAAACAATCAGGTTTGGTTCAGTTAAATATCTTGTCAGACGTTTACAGTGCTTCGGTCTCGTCCTTGCTCTCCATGATCTCACAAACCAACARGAGAAATTTAAAAAGCTTGATTTTGACTTTTTTTCCCATGTTTCTCAGTAAATTTACTCAACAACACAGGGATTTAGTGCAGAAGAAATTTTAAAGGAGAAATAAGCAGCAGTGAAGGTTTGATAAATATTCATTAAATTAAAAAACTTTTTTTAGTTGGAAGCACAGAAACACAGATTATGTTTAGATGATCACACATAAGTATGTTTTTTTTTTCTGGAAAGCCACCACTGCTGTTATGATCTTCACTAAATTCAGCTTTTTTAGCTGAATAAGCTTTTAAGTTTTTTTTTCTGATATGTTCAGAAGAGAAAAGGGCTTTTGCTTCATCAGTGCTTTCCTGAGTTGTTAAAAAAAAGTTTAATGGTTAGAAAAATCCCCACATGCTTCGGTCCATCATTCAGTCTGGTTGGGCTCTGACAGGCGTCTTCATTCAGCATCTGTGGCCCAAAAACAAGAACCCAACGTGTCCAAACGTAAAGTCAGAACCTTTGGTTCTGTTGGACTCGTTCTGTCTCGTGTCGAGGGAGGGTTTTATTTGTACATGTAGTGTAAATAAAAACAAAAGGTATCTCGTCCATCAGATCCTTTCCCTCAGAGTCACTTTGGGTTTAAAGTCCATCTTTTAAAGGTTTGGTTTGTTTTAGTGCGCTTCAGAACAGTTTGGCTCCGCTCGCCTCCCTCAGACGATCCTCCACTGGACGACGCTCATGTCCTTCCCGCCCGTCGACACCAAGCAGCTGTCGTCATGCAGGAAGGTCACATTGGTCACATGACTGCTGTGGCCGCCGTAGACATGGCTGGGAGCCTGAAAGAGTCATTTTATTTATTTATTTATTTATTTACTTACTTACTTACTTACTTACTTATTTACTTATTTACTTACTTACTTACTTACTTATTTATTTACTT